AACCAAGACATCAACTTTATTAGCATGTTGATGTCTTGGTTTGACTGAGTGACCTTTGATATTGTTACATTTTTACTCATACATTCTTACGAGGAATATTTTGTTGTTGTTATTTTATTAGCTTGTTCTCTAGGTAAATCTACTCAGATTAGATTATTGTTTTAGATAATATCCCTTTTCTACTTTATTGGCATGTTAATGTCTTGGTTTGACTGAGTGCCCTTTGATATTCTTACATTTTTACTCGTACATTCTTACGAGGACTATTTTGTTGTTGTTGTTGTTGTTCTGCTTTGAGTTAGTGCTATTGCGCACTTTTACTCTTTTATGGTTTGGGGGGCTTATCGCTGCCCCACACTAAGCTTTAACTATAGTAGAATTATTATAATGTATTTATCTTTTAACTGATGACGGACCGTAGATCAGCATATCTTTCTGTGCGTCCTGAGGTGAACTATTTTGGATATTATTGCTTTGAGTTCTCAAACAGTATTTTTTCTTTATAATTTTTTTTTTTTATTGTATGATTTAATTTATTTCTCTTCAGAAATGTTGTTAAACTGTTATTGTTGTTGTTATCAGTAGGGATCTGCTTGTGTATTTCCTTTTTGTTGTGGCGAATGGTACTTTGTCGTCGGACTCGGTTCGTGGATCGGTCTGTTCTTGGAACCAATGCTTACGTTTAGATTTTCAAAGATAGATATTTTTTCTTCTAATATGGTATAATTTATTAATCAAATTTATTGATCTGATGATAGGCTTAAAGTTAAAGAACTAACTTGTTTATTACCTCTTTTCCAAGTAATACAAAATTTTTAAATAAATTTTTTTAGTTAAAGTACTAAAGTGTACAATACATTTTATTAATTTTTAAAATAATTAAAAATAAAACTTCAAAGTTGACTTTTTGTTTTTCTATTCGAATTGTCAAAATGGAAAAAATTTATTATGAAATTTATATAAAAATATAATGTAAACGAAATAATTTTATGTGAAATCAAAATAGAGCAGCAATCAATTTACTAAAATATTTAGTTAAATTGCAATATTTATAACGTCTCTTATAACGTTAAATTGCAATATTTATAACGTCTCTTATAACATCAACCAAAGATCCTCAGCACCGCCAAATGGAAGGTGCAGTAATACACAGCCTGGGAAAGTTAGAAACTGTTGGTATGTTTAAAATCTCTTCTCTTCCTATATTTAATTCTTTTTTTACTTTAACAATATAATTGTATACTATTATCGTATTTGTTCACATCCAGGTTTCTTCTTAAATAAATTGTGAATTTAGCTCCCATTAAAAAATTTAAGAATATAAAATGTTATGTTCAAATGTTGCAACGATTGTTAGCAATGTTTTTAATTATCACTTCTTTAAAAAACTATTTTAAAAAATGAATTTTTTTTTCTTTCTATAGATATGCCAACGTGAACACACTTAAATGTATATTGTCAGATAAATACTCAAAAAGTGAATGGAAAGTTTTCTTCCTTTACACATATAATATGCCTCTACTGCTCATATTATAGATTGTATCCTCTACTGCTCAATGTTACTTCACTGTGTACACTGTCTTATCAGTTAAGCTGATATCTGATTTTTTCCCGGAATAGATCGTTTATTGCTAAATAAAATTTCTTATGTAATAAAAGATTTATTTCATATACTATATACAATCAAAGTAAATTTATAGGTTTTTTAAATTACGACTTAAAAATGCATTCGGGTTCTAGAAACTAATTATTAGTAATTCAAAATTTTTCTTCTTCATTGAAACTTATTTTCGGCAGCTATTTTTCAGGACCTAATCTACTGGGGTTTATGAATTTAATAAATCTGAACTCGATTAGCTCAAAAATTATTTAGGCTATTTACAACAAGACAGACAATATCTTCATATTGATTAAAAATGTACATTCTGGCAGGAAAGCACTGAAAATTTGTAACTGAAGATATCCGCGTTTGTTTAAGTACTTTTAATATCTATATGTACTTTTACATACAGAGAAATTAGTATCCCCTGTCAACTGATTTGTATATAACTATAGATTGAATGAGTTCACTAGCGGTAGCAAATGGTCGAGAAATCATCAATATCTCGAAATCATTTTGCTAGTTGACCTCAATACTTGACCTCTATAATCCCAAAGTACTAGTAGAACCACTTGCCAATTGGTTTGTTGTTGGTAAATATTTTATGATTAAGATCCATCCCTTTATGACTTGTTCCAAAAGAATATAATACTTACATAAACCACAACATAATTATGTCTCTAGTAACCGCAGGATTATTGAAAATGAGATATAAAATTAGTTCAATTTTAGCATAATATGGAATAAAAATTATAGCTCGGTAAAATACATTTTTATCTATATATATGTATATATTATCACTATATCATTCAACTTAATTTTTTTCTCAGTGAACTCTTAATGATTATTGGTTTTAGATTTTAAATAAAATATATAATTATATATATATGTGCTATATGATAGTTGATTATAGAACTTTGTGATTTATAATATATAAGTTTCTAAATAATTTTCTTGTACCTTACTTTGTTTATTATTATATTATATTCGATTATTTATAAGAATTTTTTTAAATTTTGATAAACAACTTTGTGGTTTTGTTTTCTTGAAATTTTAGGCAGAGATGGTTCCAAGGTTACTACAGTGGTTGCAACACCCGGCCAAGGTACCGACCGTGTACAAGAAGTTTCCTACACAGATACAAAGGTGATTGGCAATGGAAGTTTCGGTGTAGTCTTTCAAGCTAAACTATGCGACACAGGGGAGCTGGTAGCGATTAAAAAAGTTTTACAAGACAGACGATTTAAGGTAAATATTAATATTTTTGTTTTGTTATTTCAAATCTATTATTAATAATTTAATTTTGCTTTATTTTATAGAATCGTGAATTGCAAATAATGCGTAAATTGGAACATTGTAATATTGTAAAACTTTTGTACTTTTTCTATTCGAGTGGTGAAAAGGTAAGCAAAAATTTAATATTACTTTTTCTGTAAGTAATGTCTATAAAAACCTTTAGTTTATATCTGTTAAAATTTCTTTTTAATTAATAGTGAAATATGCACTTATTTTAGTAGGTAAAGATAATGGTAATAAAAAAATTCAAATGAATTTATAACATATATTTCAAGTGTAAATGCAATCAATATTGAAATCCAAATAATTCAATTAAATAAAATATTATATAAAATTTCTTCTTTCTTATTCTATGTACAACAAAATTTATTAAAAATAAAAATAATAAAACTTACAAAAAAATATATAATCTATTATATTTGAAAAATATATTTTCAAAATAATTAAAACGGCTTTCTGCATAAAATAAAAGCTAGCCGAGTTTCCCATTGATGTTGGGATTTTGGCCGGTGTTCTCAAACCACAGGTACTCTTTGACATATAATGTAGCAATTAATATCAATCAGTTCAATGAACTTCGTAAATATTTCATCGTATTCGCTAATGCAATATTGTAATATAATATGTACGACACTATGTATATATGTATAAACAATAAAAAATAAATTAATTGCAAACAGCCAGCATTTATTCTCTCATGCGACACATTTGTTAAATATGCTAAAAAATTCATTTGAATTTTGGAAACATGAGTAATTTTTGAAACATTTATAAAGTTTATAAATGAAAAGTTTTATATAAAATGCAAATTGCATGAATTTTATTACTTATACTTTATAAATAACATTTTTTTTTATCGCCTACATACTCATTTTTAGATTAACATATTTCTACACGTTATATATATCATAATATTATGAAATAGAAATTGATAAAAGTGTCAAATAGTTGAAGCTTTTTGTGTTTACATTTTTAAGTATAATTTTTGTTTTATTTTTAATACTAAAAGCTTAACATTTTAACATATTTTATCACATAATTTTTTACATTCTACTTCCTCTAATTGAAATTTTCAAATCCTACATTATATAAACAACTATTAAGTGTGGTTAGATATTAGTACGTATACTTAGCTACAACTTAAAATTATTTAAAAAAAGCGTATGAGAATATATCAATCCTTAAAAAATTAAGATAGATCTGTGGTAAAAGATTTCTAATATTCAAATATGCATAAATGGTAAAAATGCATCTATTCTTTTTTAATCAGTCTTTAATATATATTTTATATATTTTATAAAATATTAATATATTTATATATTAATATATTTATATAATTATTATATTATATATTTTTGAAATTGTTTTTTAATTCTTGATTTTTTCAACCTACAATATATAGAAATGTTTAATACATATAAATTAAATATTAAAAATTGCTCATGAAAGAGCATAGGAATCTTTTATGATTTTGCGACAGTGTTTAATTTCCGATCCGGTGCCTTTACTCTGACGCTACACACGTAATGAGCGAATCCAGAAGATGAATGGACAAACACCTATTTCTATTCAAACACCATTTTTCCTATATTCTTCTAAACTTTCGTCAAGAAATAGCCCATCCAATTCCATTTTCTTGACTTAATTTTCCTCTCAAAAGCCACCGAGCTCTCTCATCAACAGATATAATTCTGTGTTGAAGATCACCTCAATATTGTATATAACGTGAAAATATGTTCACAAACACTTGCACGTGTAATGTGCCAGGTTTATGAAATATAAAGACATATGGGTTTAATGCTAGACTTGAATTTGAATTTTAGTTTGGTAGTTAGCACTTTAATAAAAGATGGAAAGACTTAACGATATGCAAGTTAGCCGCTCTCTATTCAGAAAAAAAAATCATCATTCATTGAAGTCCTCCGTAAAGACATTAGTCTTGAGGTAGATTTGTTGAAGAGTCACACCCGATAGGAGAGCCATGCGAAAAAAATTGAATCTTCCATTAAAGCATTCCTGTACTACATGTGGAGCGTATTACACATATGCCTTCTATCTGCTTTGTAACCACGCTTGTTGTGTAACCGCGTTGCAGGTTCTCTATATTGGCTTTCTTTTTCGAGGATCTTGGTTATCTCCAGAACCTTTTTCTAAAAAGTAAAACTAGTAAAGTGAAGTAAAACTTCAAGCTGGTTTTTAAACCTCTAAGTTTTTATACGATAAAGCAATGGATCAATAGCCCAAAGTAGATTGTTAGGATCGCCAGTATAATCTGAATTAACCTACTTATGTGGCAAGTGTTAATTAATCAATCATATCGTATTGATAATCATATCTTATATATTGTGCTGAATAATATATTTATAGAAATTTTAAAAGATATATTTTATATGTCTATCTAAGTTTACGTTAAATATTTCATTGTCAGAAGTCTTAGTTACATTTTATCATTTCCTACATATTGGTTTTAAAAATTACTTTTGTAATTTTATTAAAAAATAAAATAAAATTTTTTTCTTTTAATTGTAGTATTAATTAGTATTTATCTGCTTGATGGGTGTTATCCTTAGGTTATTTTCTATATTAATTTATTAATATTCATAAAAAAGATCAAAAAGAAATAATCTTTTAATATAAATCATTAACCTGTTTTTTTTTTTAATTTCAGCGAGATGAAGTGTTTTTGAATTTAGTCCTCGAATATATACCAGAAACTGTTTACAAAGTTGCACGTCAATACGCTAAAACTAAACAAACGATACCAATCAACTTTATTCGTGTATGTATTAAAAAATAAAAAAAATATAGAGTCAATAGAGTTAAATAAAATTATTAATATTTTTAAAATACATTTACAGCTTTACATGTATCAGTTGTTTAGAAGTTTGGCATATATACACTCTTTGGGAATTTGTCATCGCGATATTAAACCCCAAAATCTTCTATTAGATCCAGAGACAGCAGTGTTGAAACTATGCGATTTTGGTAGCGCAAAACAATTGTTACATGGTGAGCCGAATGTATCATATATTTGCTCTCGGTACTATCGTGCACCAGAGTTAATATTTGGTGCAATTAATTATACAACAAAAATCGGTAAGTATATATATTGTTGAATAAAGTTGAATAAGTTTCTTTATCTAATTATATTTTAATGGAATATTTTAGATGTATGGAGCGCTGGCTGTGTCTTAGCTGAATTACTCTTGGGTCAGCCTATATTCCCCGGTGATTCCGGTGTTGATCAATTAGTTGAAGTTATTAAAGTTTTGGGTACACCAACACGAGAACAAATTCGCGAAATGAATCCAAATTATACGGAATTTAAATTTCCACAAATAAAAAGTCATCCATGGCAAAAGGTAAACACAATCAATTAATATACACATATCTATACATTTATATGTATGTATGTATATAATCTATAATATATAGAGCAAGAGCAGCAGCAACGTTTCCAATCAATATTTCTCATTATTGAGGCAATTGACATTTATGCACGCAGTATCTTTCAAAGACATTATCAATTCTTGATTTGCTAATTTTCATGAAATGTGCTTTGTTAGTTTTTATTTCCTCATATTTGTATATGCATTACTTCCACATTGTATGCATTACATATTTTATTTTTCTTTTTTCTTTTTGTAAATAATATTTTAAAGAATTCTAAAATATTAGTGTTTAATTGAAGTAACCTATTTGCAGTCACTACTTGAACGTAGCCAATTTTCAAATGCACTAAGCCAGAAACAACGTTGGAGAGTAAGCAACAACAAACAAAATTTTTTTTCTCCCACGAAAAATACAACAATTGGTTTTTATTTTACAAATATAAAATTAATAACAAAAACAATTCGATTGTTTAAACATTTTTTCTTATTCATTTTTTTTTTTTGATAAATTTTTTACTTGCCATGAGTGCAGTAATATTCATTAATTAAAAATTTACCAATTTACCAAAATTTTTCTTTCTAATAC